TAGTCACAATGATGAGTATCATGGATCATCAGTCAGTTGAAATTCTACCCGACAGATGGGCGCATTCAGAAATACGCCCCATTGGAAAAGGTAGCTTTCAAGTTTTCTTCTGAAATGAAACAAACGAATTACCAAGTACGTTAGTAAACTCGAAAGTTGAAGTAGGTTTATTGGCCAAAGTCGAGAGGCTCTGATAGGCGTCGTTCATCAGTTTTCGCTGGAGATCTCCATGTTACATCTGCTGTGACACTAACGAAGACCCATTGTTTGGCTCCATCAAATATTTAGAAGAGCATGCGTCAGTTACCAAATAAGCTTTCCAGTCTCCATACTCTACCATTCAATTGCACATTTAGAAATGTTCCATTGTCCTAAAACTATGTAAAACGTGACGCTGCAAACCATTTTTACACCCAGAAAGAATAAAAATGTCAAAATTATTAGTATTTTCCATAAAAAAGGAGTATTTAGTGACTTTAAATAAAGAAAGATTGAAAAGAGATTCTTAAAACAGAGAATATATGTAGATTTTTAGATTATTAACGAAAAAGAAGGCACTTATAGAACTGTTAACATCATTTTACTTAACAACTAAGTTCAAATCAATAATTCCCTAAGTCAGTTTCAAAAACATTATTTCAAGTGAATGACTTTTGCGAGAGAATGGGGAGATTGAATTTTAGCCTTATTTCAAATGGAAATCAACCACAGTGGTGTTTCGTAGAAGTCATATTTGGCTCAGAGAATATACATTTGAATGTCGAGTAAGACACGAGTAAGATACGAGTGATTCTACCTGCAGGTTAAGCTATAATGCTCAACTCAATAAAAAATTAATCACAGGATTGTTGTTCTCCATGTCAATAGTGAATGCTGTAAGGCTGAGAATGTTACTACAGAAATGAGATGACCTCGGGAATACAAATGACCCGTGGTATACAATGAGCAAGTGGGAGTAAATGATGGAGACTAATTTGTGCCTAACTCCTTTGGAAATAATGAACTTAAGTAGTTAGCTATTTCGGAGTCGGTAGGAGTCAGTAAACAAATTTAAATTTCTAAATACGCTATTTTGACAATTCATCTAATTTAAAATCCAAATGCGTACACAGACCAGCTTAATGCATTAGCATTTAGGATAATTTATTCAATGAAATAATTATAAACCTATTATTACAAAAAGTTATCATGAAATGATGGAAGGTTTTAAAGACGGTATTGCTGTGAAATAGCAGGTGGTTTATTTAAATCACTCATCACTTAATATCGGAGAGTGATACTCAAGTGGCCTTGAGTGAACACAAATTTCAATTGCTTCCGTGATTGAATTGGCCTGCTCCAAATTAGGTTAATCTTCTCATTGCACCAAGTCTTCGGGATCTCATAGGCGTCTAATGCCTAGGTGAGCGAAAGCCTTTCTCCATCTTTACACATTTTAGAATCTGAAAGCAGTTGGAGTAAGGAAAACCAACTCGATGCGTGTTCACTCGTGAGAATGAGCAAGGGGAATACTGGCGACTGCTGCTGAGAGTGAGAGAGATCTTTGCCTATCCCCACGAGGAGTTATTTTGGGCTGCTCTTGGTTCATCAGAGGCAACTGACTGACTTATTGACATTGCGAACTTATCTTGAAGTAAAAATGGTTCCAAAGAAATGTAATGTTACAATTGATTTCAATTAGTAATGCGGCATTACATGGGTTTGGAGGAAAAGGCCAACTACATAAAAAAGCGCATTGCGGGTTGAGGGAATTGAGATGATGTTGTTGGACGATTGAAAACTTCCTGGATACTTGGAAGTTCTTCAAATGAAAGTAGTTTAAAAGGGAATTTACGTTAACTGTCCGTCTGTTTCAGCTGTGATTCGAGAGCCGCATACGAGAAAAGTCCGTCTCTCCATCGAGCAGTGATGCCAATATTGGCAATGATTGAGAGGCATTGTTATTGGGGTTGTATGGGGGACGAGTGATTAGTGCACATCTGTCAAAAATGTCCAGATTTGGCTAATCTGAATGTGTCAAACACAAAGGTCGTAAGAGTGTGGGTCAAATGTGACCTTGAGTGAAGACAAATTCTTATTGCTCCCGGCTCCGAGTCGATATGTCACATCTCGTGTCAAACTATTCATTGGGGCTCTTTTCAACATTTCTTAGGCGTCTAATGCCTAGGTGAGCGTAAAGCCATTTTCTTCCTTTACATATTTTAGATTCTGAAATGAGTTGGACTTAGGAAAACCAATTCAACGCCAGTCCACTTGTGAGAACGCTTGGCGAGTACACTATTCGACTACTGCTGAGAGTGAGAGAGATCTTTCCCAAGTCCCCACGAGGTACAGAATCACCAAGCCTTTGACAACTATCAAGCTGAATGATTCGTGTGTATTGGAAGTATTAGAGATCTAAAATGACTACAGCAATGAACACGGTGTAAGTCCAGGCAAGCCGTACTAGTTTGTTGTGTCCACGTTTGTAAAATCATTGCTGTTGCTTTCGAGACTCCATACCAACCCACTAATGCATTCATTGGAACAAATCCATATCATGTCTTAAAGCAATGCAAAACGGTACGCATTAAAACTGCTTCAAGCGGAAAGGTTGAAGTTGCCTGCATCACTAACATTTCCACTGACAAAGTATATTTTGTGACTAATAGTATAAACAGAGAGTGCACAACTAGAGACAAGACAGAGGCACTTTAAGAAGAGAACAAAAGAAGAAATTTAGACTATTCTTCTAGTCGAAAGTACTTGTTTAATCGGTTAACGTCGTTAAGATTATCAATTGGGTTCAGGTCAATAATGCTCGAAGAAAGATTTAAAAATTTTACTCCAAACAGACTGGTTTGATATGGAGTGCTCTTCTTCTGAGAGAAATGCGGCAAGTAGAATGTTAGCATTAGTTCGTGGTGTATCTGGGTGTTCTTGGCAGTAATGCTTAGATACGTGGGACTAGTTTTGATGCTCTGTTTAGAGCACTGATGAGACCAATTTGAAGGCTAAAAAAAAATTTCTTTCACTAGTCCAGCACATTGTAAATTGTAAACATATTTCCATTCCTGTACCTCAATTTTGGAACCGATTCTGACCAACTTGACCGAACTCGATTTGCCAAATTGCTTTACCATAAATCGCTCTTTATTGTCCAAACAAAAATCCCTATTGATCACAATAGAGTAAAAAGCTTTAGGTCTTTGTAGAGAGTATGCTAACTGAGACTCTTGACCTCTCTCATACTTGTTCACTCATTTGCCGAAAATCTCCATACAACCAACAGGAATATCCTTTGGCGTCTGCCTATAATCCAGGAGATGGATGGGCCATTGGATGGGGACGACGGGTAGGGTGTAGGAAAATCGTGGGTGTGAGGGCGAGAAGAATTGGCCCAAGAATTCGAATGAAAATCTTTTGAAATGTCACCATTAATTCTCCTCTTCCACATTGCAAAATGCATATAGCTTTGTACCCTCGAGGTTATCTCATTTCTGAAGTAGCAGTTATAACCCTACAACAACAAGAACAGCAACCAATGATGACTTGATGAATTGCATCGCTGAGGAAAGGATCTACCCAGAGTATCTATTAGTGCTGATATGTAAAGGTTTAGCCCCAATCTTAGGCGTCTGGAACTAGATCAAGTGCACTCATTCCTTTTCAACTGAACACATACATTAAAAGACAAATAGGACCCAACTGGAGGAGTACGCCAATCGCTGATTGGCTATTGTAAATAGTATATAAGAAGAAGGTGCAGAGAAGAAGTCTCTACGTTAAAGAAAGTGTAATGGATCAGCACATTGACCAGTTTTTTATTGATCACATTTTGCCTTTGCTCTTCCCATCTTCAGGTTTGTCAAATCTGAACATCTTCGAGAGATGCGCACTAATTACTCCTCCCCCCTACAACCCCAATACTAATGCCTCGCAATCATTTCCAATTTTGGAATCACTGCTGGATGAAGAGGTGGAGGTTCCTGCACGGGCATCTCGAAACACTCCTGATAGAGGCAGTCAGCTAACTGTAAGTTTCCTTCTAATTGCCTGGTAATGATTATTCACTTTAGGCTACACACTTCACCCACACTCCTAGAGGCCCCTCACAAAGTATATTACGTATGTGCCTCTCAATTTATTTCAACTCTCATAAAACTGTTTAAGTAACTGTGAATTCGACATTTTAGGCAGAGCTTTAACTGATCCAACTTACTTACAACACCAATTGGATGAGCTGAAAGTGAAAAATCGTGGCAACGTAAAGACAAAGGAACCGGTGAAGCAATGGGTGGCGAAATATTCCACCAGTGAGGCCCTAGCAAAGAAACTACCACAGGCGAGAACTCCACCGACATCCACGTCACAAGACAAAAGTTTGGAGAGCCCTTGCATATTCAACCGATATTTCCAAGGAGCTCTATGCACTTGTTCGGCAGAAAACTTTCAACAAGCTTCAACACCTCCAGAGGTACCTCTTCCTCCTCCTCCTCCTCCTTCTCGTCCTCACATACCAGTGAATGAGATGGTATCCACTGGAGGCCTTCCTAGCATCCAGCAAATTTTCAGACATCCATAAACACACAACCTTCACTCGATGTATTTCGTGTAAAATTGTGCTTTTCAGTCTGAACACCTATTTGTATCATCTAAAAGACACCTCCATTTATAGTATCAACACATTCACCTGCAATTTGATATCAGAGTGCCACTTCATTGGAGGTTCAGGGAGTAAAACAGCGTTTTTGTCTAATCCAGCTCTGCTTCTTGGAAGGCTTCCAACTTACGACTTAAGAGAGCACGCGGCTACTTCTAGAAATAGGTTTATGTTTGCACTACCTGGTCTGTGAAAAAATACTACTGAAATTTTTTAATAAATGATATTTCTTGTGAATACTACCACTTGGAAGCGTTGTTTCATGAAATACTAGTACCATTTGGGTTGTGGTAGGACAGAATTTAGTCGATTGCAACCGTCAACACGACAAGCAACAAGAGTAGTTGTATCTGTTGACATGGTTCTGGAAATTTGTAGTGACCGTCGATCGAGTCGCCGAAGTCGCTCTCACAACAGGGATTATCTTTGTGGCTGTCAGAGGAGACGGTGAGTTTTCCATTGTAATTGTGTCTTTTCTCTAATCTAGTTACCTATTAAACCATTGAAGTTGATGTTGGCAAGAGTTTGTATCAAGTAGGCTGGAAATAGGTGGCTCGATTTTGAAGTCTCTACTAGTTGGAGTTAATATCTGAAGCCTACAACGGGGTAACATGTATTTCTTATCCCTCTTTCGGTTTACTCGAGTGTCTTTCTCTTATGTCTAATTTGAAAACAAGAAATGATTTTGGGATATTTTGTGTCGAGGTAAAACGGATTTGCTATTCGCGTTCTACTGGAAAAATCATCATGTGGTACGCTCTTCCAAAGTACCATCTAAACATCTAGAACACCATTTTGGTGGACTAGATAGCATGTCATTTGGAATTTAGTTTAGAAAAAGTTGATATTTCCTATTAACCTTGAAATCAAAATCATTTCTCGATTATGCTCGATCTTAATGTGCTAAAGGTTGGCCATACTGGGTAGGATTATGTCTTCCATATGCCTGAAAGAGGTGGTGATTTCTCGTCGGACTGAGTGAGCGACATTTTCTGAATAATANAAAACGGATTTGCTATTCGCGTTCTACTGGAAAAATCATCATGTGGTACGCTCTTCCAAAGTACCATCTAAACATCTAGAACACCATTTTGGTAGACTAAAAATCATTTCTCGACTTTGCTCGATCTTAATGGGCTAAAGGTTGGCCATACTGGGTAGGATTATGTCTTCCATATGCCTGAAAGAGGTGGTGATTTCTCGTCGGACTGAGTGAGCGACATTTTCTGAATAGTATTTTGAGTAAGTTTAGGTAGAAGAGGTTGTTAAGATCCTCCACTCCTCCGGGATGAACTCTTGTAGGGGCTTCATTTTCTTCTTCGTCAACAGGCCTGTTGATGGTGGAAATGGCTTTGTCGGACTTCTAGATTAGTCTCGCCAAAATCTATCCTTGATTGTACTTTGTAGTAGGATTTATCTGTAATTTCTATCTCTAGAGAAATTGGTTTAGTGAGTATGTGTTAAATAACCAAATGGATATTTAGTGTAAATATGCTTTCCAAGTCAATAGGGTAAGAGTTGAAAACCAACTGTTTCATTTATAAACAGATAGGAAGTAGATCTTGGTCGAAAATACGGTGGCCGCAGTGATCGTTGCTCTTGACGACATGGATCAAGAGAAAGTCATCACGAGTGTTATCGTGTTCGTAGCCCAATCTTAGCCATTTCTCCCAGGCAGTCTTTGAATGCCCCAGAATCCTCATTACGTTCGAGACGGAAGGCAGTAACTAAGAAGTCAAACGGACGTGGAGGCGGAGGAGGAGGTGGTGGTGGTGGTGGAAAGAAGTCCTATCGAAGCAGTCATCGCAGCAGGCGTCATCCTCGACCTCCAACACAAAGTAGGAATCAATCACCTTCTACATCTCAAAGATCTCATCTTCCTGATGTTGGAATTTATTCATCTTCGACGTCATCTATTAATCCACTGGAATCGGTTTCGAATGCGTCCACTGATGTTAGTGCGAAACAGCGTCGATCATTATTTGGTGTCTTCTAAAAGTTGTCACACATTCAACGCTTTGTATATACTCTGCACTAGCATACACTCATTCACTTGTAATGCCTGTTTTGTAAATAAAATGCAAAGAATATGCACTCGCTACTTGCTCAGTTTATACTTAATTATGGGTTTGTGAGCTCATTGATGTCTGCGTTCCAACTCGATTATCACACGTTCTACTTATCAGTAATCAGTAATAAAGTTGTTTGTGGGTTATTATTAATGATGAAGTGGATTGATTATTGACTTAATAGAATGCTGGCATGTAGCTTACCATTTCCTAGGCAATAAAGTTAGTAGGATTTGTGTCATGAGTTGTGCTGTGCTCATCTACTCTAAATAAATTTATTGAAGGCCAAAATCACGACTTATTTGGGAAAGCTTTGATAGTACCATCGAGGAGTCTCCCCTGTGGCACTCAACTTCATCCTCCTAATCGGTTCACCAGACTTAGCCGGTGCGGTTGCCTATTCCACTCATATGAGGCGCACGATGGGTACAAACTCTTGATTTCTTTCATTTTGTATCTGCATTATCTTTATTGCAATTAATCAGTTATGCTCAATTTATGCGATTAAAATATTCACATTCACAGCTGATTCACATGAATCAATTTTAGAAAAGTGATCAAATCTAAAATGATTGCACCCTATCCTTGTATGGCCAATAACCACTTGACTTTGAATGCTTCATGGCAATGAAGTTCATCTTTTTACATGTGTGTTTAAAAGTTTCCACATCCATTTATCACACACACGATGAGTCTTGTCGTGCCATTCACATTAAACAGGCATTGCTGAGCCAAAGTCGGGAGATTGAGAGATGAAGAGATTGTACGGTATGTTGTCGTGGTTGCATCAGCTGAAACATTTGATTACTGCTTTAAAGAAACATTTTCCATTGCTGTTAATAACTTATATCAATTTTGTCAGTCCGTTTTGTCATTACCTCGGTTGCTCTTAACAATAGGGGAAAATTTTTAAAGGCCTCCTACTTCCACCACTTCAGTCACATTTGAATGGATCTGCAGCGTTTTTTCTCAGTATTTTAAGACGATCAGGAGATACTCCATTGGATATTACACAGTGGCTATTGATTGCTTGTTGGTTGAGAGATCAGAGAGCATGAAACAAAGCGATTGCTCAATTCGAAAGGAAAAGCGGGTTCCATTGGAAAGAAAAATGACCCACCTCATTCCAAACTTATAACTTAGAAGTTGACTTGGTCGATTTAATTATCAAACAAAATCAGCAGTGAAATAACGTGATTTTCAACAATTGTCTGTATAATCAAACTTGCTTTAATTAGGTACTACAGAGATTCCTTCCATAAGATGTACATCAATACAATAAGCCTTTTTCGTCCTCTATTATCTCCACAAATTCAAACATCTCGAAATTTATTACAATTTTCTTCTCTTTATACATTTGTAATGTATATAGCGTGTGCACCCACTAACCCTATTGGAGCCACTTGCACCTGGTTTAAAATGATGTTATTCAAGATCAGGGTCCGTAGTAGTTCTTGCAATTCCCTTCAGTGCCTATTGTAATTCCTCTATCGCCAAATTCCAATTTGACATATTGTTATAAGTTAAGGTTAGACAGATCCAGTATTCAGGCTCGTTCTAAAGAGTTATCACCCACCAATTGTACAAGGCATGTTCGACTTGACCTCATCTCTCAATTAACCTCTTCTCCTCCACCCTATGACTTATAGCTTAGTTCTCCAACACCAATGCTCCTGATACTTCCCGTTCACGTATAACTTCACGTTCATTGTATCTATATCTGTGTCTCCGAATTATGCCTTCCACGAAATGTTACTGTAATTGAAATTACTATATGCATTTATGTATATAGTTATATATTCGTTCACATCATGATATCAAAGTGCCATTTCATTGGAGGTTCGGGGAGTAAAACAACGTCTATGTCTATTCCAGCTCTGCTTCTTGGAAGACTTTCAACTTATGACTTATGAGGGCACGCGGTTAATTCCAGAAATGGGTTTACGTTGGCGATACCTGGTCGGTATGAAAATACTACTGAAAAGACTCAAAAACAACCAATTGGAAGCGTTGTTTCATGCGATACTATTTTGCAGACAATAAATCCACACTGTGTCCACAATGTAATAAATCATATTCATTTGAATCATTTTGATTATGATAGAATAGAAGTTAGTCGATTGCGACCATCAACACAAAAAGCAACAGGAGGAGATGTATCTGTTGACAAAGTTCACTTCGAAATTTTAATTATTTAATAGTTGGAAAATGTGAAGATTGGGCATCCTAGAAAGTTGCATATGGTGAAGGAATTACTCAAATTCGAGACGATTTGTAGCAGAGGCGAATTTTATATATCAGATATGAATGTGTTGGACTGGAGCATTAGGAGAATTCCACCATGAATTCAGAATTTCCAATCCAACATTTAGGTGCTAGTAGGCTAATGTGAATTTTGACGAAGGACAATTCAATGCAATATCGAGAGGTTACAGTAGTTTATCATACTTACACAATAAATTAAAATTCTTCCAACCACCATCACCATCACCGCCACAATGAACAACCACTACCATCACCATCACCATCACCAACATTAATATCTCATTTCGATGTTTCATTTCCATATGATTCAATGGTACGAGGATTGTTAAAAATGAGAAACGATGGAATTGATATATTTTTATTGCATCTTCGACTACACAGTTACGTCAATGGAAGTATTTTCAGGCTTATAAAATTCCAATATTCTTATTTACAAAAATTTGACGTTATATCTTCACTATCGTAGTTTCATGCGTTCGTTGGTAACATCTGACATTCTAGCAATGTGTCATTTTGCTTCATTTATTATGATAATAATATATATGTCTGATTTGTGCTTCATGTTGAAATGGCAAATTCAAAATATTCTTCTTGTGTTTGAGGCTATATTTGGAAAATTAATTACATATTTGACGTGTCTCCTCTAAATCTCATCCTTCTACTTTTATTATGGCAAACTTCAAGACATGACTGAATATATACATATCGAGGTAAATACTGTGTTTGGTATTAGACGATGTAATGTTATTGATTAACGCTAAATGAACTGATTTTTTTAGAATTGGTATTAAGATAGCAAAAAGCTTTGATGAGATTTATCCAAACTTTGTATTACCTTTAATGGTCGACTCCATCCAAATTGTGGGGTTCATAACTTCACCACTAGATAAATAGTCCCTTGCGCTAATATCAACCATTTAAAACAAGGTCTAGATTACTTCATCCACACAGCATTGGCCTCCTTGATTCTATCGGAACTTAAACTCTTGCATTCCAGTCTCTGATCTCAGATATTTTTTACTCTACAGGCAATAAATAAGGCAAGTCTATCATTAAACAGTGTTAAGCGTCCAATTTTATTACATCTAAATTAGTGCTGTCCATAAATACGAAAATTATTCTCCCATTTATTAATGACATCCACAATCGGTTGATATTTGGGATCTTGTAATTAAATGGGAGTTGGAGTAATTCACTCCGTCATCCTTGTGTGGTCTGGTAACGCGTATGCTCACCATAATTGACCAATTGATAGTGAATGCCCTGTCTTGTTAAATGATCTCTATTCCCATCTTGATGTATCCTTTCCGCTATATCGGTGCCAATGCATTCATTAATACTTGTGCCATTTTCTAATCTGGCAAATACCCCTTTTTGTCTTTGATATTCAAAACCACTTCAAGATATACCCAGTCTATAATTCACCCCACAATAGACCCAACTTGTATCTTCTGAACATCTCACACGAAACACTGAAGTATTAGGAGATTTTAACGCCCATAGCACATGTTCATATAATAATTTCTGTCCTAACTAAGCACAGGTACAGACAATTGCTCAATATACAGCGCATTCTCTCTTAGTTTTATCCAAACATACATAGTAACCTCCATCATGATTAAGTAACTCAAATTATATTTTTTATAAAAAGCATTAATGTACTCTCGATTGATTAAAAAATGTTTACATTCATTTCTTCTCCAAATATACTGAGACATGTGCTCTTTTTTGACTCTAATCTTTTAAACACCTACTTATTAGTTCTATAGTATGATAGAAATTTGTTATAATGTTGAAACCATTCATTTAAAAAACTGCGATTTCAATTATTTAGTATTACTTTCCATATGACCGGTTAAATAACAATCACTAGGAATTTTAATAAAGATAGGTTTCGTTTTGGTTAAGCAAACAATCATTTGTTCACCAGAATATTTCAATGAATAAAGCAACATATAATGATTATTGTATATCGAACCAGCTTTCACATCTACGTTTGCAGGATACAAGTCATTGTCACCACGGTTATAACCGAGTGCACAACAAAAAAGAATTGTAGCCTCCTACTTACTGATGTGAAGATAAAAGAAGTGCATCAATGCAAAAAACCAAATAAATAACACATTTTAAGCCAAAAAATATATTATTGAAAGCTTTAAATTGGAGTTTAAAATTTGGCAACAAAATAGCCATAAGAAATAGATTTTATACTATACTGGAAATTAATTTTTACTTATTGATAAAAGAGAAAGCTGATTTGTTGCTTTTAAATCTTAACTAAGTGCCAAACATATTTGTTAGCCTAAAACTAGACGGTTAAAGCTTCAAGGAACTTTTTCTTCCAAATTCTGTTCATTCTAAGGCGATTTCGCCAGCAGGCAAAGAAACAATAATATTCATAGATCATTTCTGGCCTAACCAAACTCAGGTACAGCCAATAAATCAATTTTAGGCATAAGCATTCTTAATTGCATCAATGCATCAATAGAGTAACATCCATTCAACATTACTGATGAAAATATTTCTACGATTAATTTATCATTACCCTTTCTGAGACACGATCTTTCCATTATTTGCACGTTCTATTTATATATATTGCTGTAAGTAAAGCAGATCCCAACTGTGAAAATGATTTTGAAAGAGCCCGTTACTCACTGTTATT